CACACTGAGCTACATCTCAAGTCCTTCTTTTTTTTTTTTAATTTTGGAAGAAAATCTCACTAAGTTGTCCAGGGTGGGCTCAAATTTGTTATCCTTCTGCCTCAGCTTCTCAAAGAGCTGAGATTATAGGTGTGCACCACTAAACCTGGCAAGAAAATATATTTTAATGTGAATAATTTTTATTCCATATGCTAGGTATCAGATAGACTCACTAAATGTAGTGATTCTCTCTCTTTTTATGTATTTAGTACAGGGTCTACAAGGTCTCACTACACAGATTGGACTCGTAGTGATCCTCCTGTTTTCAGCCTCCCCAGCTCTGAGAGTACAGGCGTGCGGTGATTCTCTTCTTGAGTTCTGGAAAGTATGCTTGAATGTTACTTTTAAAACAATACATATTTTGTTTTCTTTGAAAATTTTCAAAACATGCAGAAAAATTAAAAGAATATTCCAGGTACTTTGGAGTAATCTTGTCTTGGTTTATTTTGGCCATTTTAATAAAATGTCATAAACTGGATAGCTTATAAACAGCAGAAATTAGTTTCTCCCACTTCTAGAGGCTATAAAGTTCATGCTCAAGATGCTAGCAGATTCAGTATTTAGTTTCACCTGTTTTCAAATCCATAGGTTTTACTTTCTCCTTGTGTCATCACATTATAAAAGGGACTTCTTTAACAGGGGCTCTGATCCCATCCCTGAGGAATCTCAGCTCATGTCTTGATTAGTTTCCAGTGGCCTCACATCCTAATTCTACCACATTAATGATTAGCTTTCAGTTTTATGATGAACACAAACTTCAGTCTCTGGCACCTTTGACCTAAATTGAGAAATTATCAAAGTTGTGGCCATTGATTTTTATATCTAAACACACAGACAGAAGCATGTTCCCTTAATCATTTCAAATTGAATTGAGAATATCTTGACATCTTATCCTTAATAGTTTTAATACGTTCCACATTGGCTTGAACTACTGGTCATACAAACGTTTCTAATCACTTTTATTGGTCTTTTTTACTAAGAAAATGAATAAAAAGCTACCCAGTGGGACAGTGGTGCATGTACCATTGGTAGGTTTAGGCCACCTGGTAGCAAGACACATGAATTATGGTCCCATAATGAGTGTGTTAAAACATATATGCTAATTATTAAGAATATGTTTGAGGCTGGGGATGTAGCTTAGAGGTAGGAGTCCTTGCTGATCATATGCATGGACCTGAATTTCTATCCCCGTCATCACAAAGGGAAAACAAAACATTTTAAAAAGTAAGAGACAAAGTAAAAGCATATATTAGTGTTTTTAAATCTAGAAGAATCCCTAGTTTTTTGTGTTATCTGACCTTGACTTTGTTGGAGAATCTGGGATAGTTGTTCCATACAATAATTTCAGTTCATTTAATGGCTTTCTCATGGATAAGAGGCTGAGATTCAGTAAGTATTTTTAGCAAATGTACCACATAAATGACTTACTCCATTACGTCAGAAGACATATAATATTGTTTTGCTATTGGTGATGCCAAGTTCATTCACTTATGTAATAGTAGTGAGTGCCAAGTCTTTCCAGTATAAAGGCAGTTTGATCTATTCCCAGGCTAACAATGTGCCATAAAACGTTCTCTTGTGATTCTGGGCAGGGTCAGGAAACTGCAGTTCCTGGTCAGCCAAGTGACCACAAGGATAAAACAATAGATATTCTATACCTATAGTTTTCTTTGTTGCTGTGTTGTACCACAGGTGAAGTATATTAAGTGTAGTGTGACTCAGAAAGACGTAACTGGATCATAAGTTGTAAAGCTTACATATAGATGTATGAATGCATATGTAGAATATTCACACTGAACTACATCTCTAGCTGTTTCTATTTTTTTAATTTATTTTGAGACAGGATCTTGATTGCTAAATTGCAAGGGCTGAGCTCAGCTTGAATTTGTAATCCTCCTGCTTCAGCCTCCTAGATTGATGATATGTGTAAAGCATGTAATCCATGCATGGCTTTAAATTACTTCCGAAATTACATTTTTAAAGACTCCTGCACTAGTGATGTGATGTAGCTTAGTGGTAAAACCTTGCTAGGATGATTGGCTGGAAACATTCTTTCTCATTACATGTAAGACTTCTGAGCTATTTTTTTTTCTGTTTTCAATGTTCTCATTCTTTTTGAAGTGTTCTTAGAAATTTTTCTCGTTTTGTTTTTGGCATCATTAAGTTACCTAGATTGGACTTGAACTTGCAGTCCTTCTATCTCAGCTTCTCAGAGTGCTGGGACTACAGGCATGAGCCACCATACCCAACTATGACAATTTATTCATCCATTCATCCCTTAATATATACTTAGGTTTCCATAAGTTTTGTGTCATGCTTGCTTTAAATAATACCACATTGGACATTTGAGTGCACATATATGTACAAGTGGGTGATCTGTTTGTATTTTGTTATAGACATTAAGAAGTTTATGTAACCATGTATGTAGTAATCTGTAGAATTTTGTAGGTAATTAGTGTTCCCACTTTATGAGTCGTTCTGAGCTTTTGAGGCATAACTTGTTTCTGCATTTTTCTTACCACTGATTTAGGTTTTCTTTGGTTTGGTAAGGTAGTCACTATACATCTTTATGTTTCTAGCTTCTGATTTTTTAATGTCATTTACTCCTTAATTCTCTTTGTGGGTTTATTCCTTTCTAAAAATTCCTTTTCATTCTTTTTAGTGAAATGTTAGAAAGGGATAATTATATGTGGTCTACTTGTCCTTTTTTAAGAGCAAGTATATCCTCTTTCTAGAGATTTCTGTTTTTAGAAATTTATTTATAGGCAGGTGTGATGGTACACACCTGTAATTCCAGCAGTAGGGGAGATTGAGGCAGGGGATTGCAGTTTTGAGATATGCCTAAGCAATTTAGAAAGATCCTGTCCCAAAATAAAAACTTAGCCAGGCATGGTAGCACATGCATATGATCTCAGAATTGTGACACAATTTCAGCATTTAAAAGGGCTGGCAATGTAGCTTGTTGCAAGGTTCTGAGTTCCACTCCCATTAAAGAAACAAGAAAAGAAAGGGAAAGGAAAGCAAAAGAAAAGGGGTTGGGGGAGGGAAGGAGAGGAGGATGCTCATTAGTGAAACACCAGTGGTTTGAACCCTAGGCCAAGGGAAAAAAATAAAAGTTTAATTTTAAGGATAATAAACTTTCAAAATCATTTATTCATTACTGAATAAAATTTAGTTATTCAGTCAATTTTAGTATGTGGTAGTATTATTTATTTTTGAGTCAGGTTCTTGCTTTGTATTGTGGGCTGGTCTTGAACTCAGTTTGTAGCCATTGTTGAGGTTGAACTTGCAGTGAACCTTTTGCTTTAATTTCTCAAGTGCTGGGATGATAGGCTTGTACCATCATGCCTGGGTCATGGTTCAAACTGATTATAATAATAGACATTATTTTTGCCTTCTTGAATCTTAAGTCTATTGAAGTAGCTGGACATTAATTAGTTCATCATTCATATAAATCAGAAAATTTCAGCTATAGATGACAGGTAAAATTACACATTATCAAAACAGTACACAAAGAAAGGTAGAAAAGCACTCAGAAATAATGACAGTGTATTTATAATTAAGACAGTGTTCTGGAAATGCTTTAATAGGACATGTCCTTTAACAAAGACCTAAATGAGAGCCAGAGCATGCAAGCCCTAGAATAAGGAAAATGGGTAAGAGATGTTGGAAAACATTTCAGTAGGTCAAATCAGAGTAGGATGGATTTGCACATTTTCATAAATTTGAAGAACAAAGGACAGTGCAGCTATACTTAGTGTTGGGAAGGAAGAGATAATCAGAAATAGGCAGGACATGATTATTGAGAATTTCTAAAATCAATTTGAAGAGGACAGGTATTCCCCTGAGGACAGTGGAAAGTCACTGAAATGTCTTGGGTACAACAGTGTCAGGCTAAGTATCACCCTGTCTGAATGATTGAAAGGTTTTGGTGTCCAAGTAAATGATTATTTTGGCTTTGATTATCCATGAGCAGTTGAGATTGAAAGAACAATTGCAAGACATATTTAAATCCTGATCTTAGCTTTCTATTTGTGTGTCATAGGAAGAAATGTGTTGGAATATTTTTCCCTACTAAAGTGTGTAGTAGAGTATTAATAAATGTCTTTAAATACCTTTCCTGGTCTCTATGTTTTTTAAGATTTTGAAAATGATAGTTAATGCTGTGCAGTTACTTTATACAAGTATATCTGTAACTATGTGTCATTTCAGAGTTATTAAAAATAATCAGAGCTGTGGTTCAGAATATTCATCTGTTTTCCTCGTAATTTTGCAGTAGTATTAAATTAACTTCTGTTTGTCCTTTTTTTAAAAAAACAAAAACAAAAAAACTGAATTCTCAGTTATTCGTCACTATTTCTCTTTTGTATTCCAAAGAATAATCCCATAGATTTCCCAGGCTAAAGTTATTTTTATTGGTTGGCAGAAAAAAACCTCATCCTAACCACAGAGGACTCTTCTACCTCCATTGTTCATTTCCTTCTCATTCAGCACATTAATCTTCCATCTGCTACATCTGTAGTATCTTCCTCGTCCATGTCCTTCAGTGTGTGAGCAAATAATGTTACTGGACAATCTATTTCTGATTGCTGAATAATGATTATGATAATTAGTTTTATTTATTAGTGCGTATGACACTAGATTAATCATGTAAACAAAAAGCTAGAATTGGGTTAGTATGTTTTTTAATTTATCACGCTCCCAAACTGAAGGGCATTTTTTTTCTAAGTTACTATTTAAGAACCATTGATTTAATGTTTTCCTTAGTGCCTTCCAGTGTGACCTTTTCCCATTCATTTTATTTTCTTGATCTGGTTTTCAAAATGCCCAACCATATTTGAGAACTACTTGTTACTTACTTTTTTAAAAAATTAATTTCAGTTAAGTCTTTCATATCTATTACAACAGTTTTATTCCTCTCAGAACACAAAAATGTGAATTTTTTTAATATTTTCTTTCAGACTGTGAATCAAGGTTGAGACCAAGAAATTATTTCTGAAAAAGGATATTTATGGAATAGAATCATCCTGATGGAAGATAATGGAAAGACTTACAAAACACAACACTGAGTGTTCAAGTTTCAGAGGTGATTGGGAATGGAAAAGCCAGTTTGAGAGAAAACAGAGATCTCAGGAAGGACATTTCAGTCATATGATATTCACTTCTGAAGACACGCCCACATTTAGTACCCAGCATAAGAAGGTTCACACTGATGAGAAACTCCTTGAATGTAAGGAATGTGGAAAGGATTTTGGTTTTGTATCAGTCCTTATACGACATCAGCAAATTCATACTGGTGAGAAACCTTATGAGTGTAAAGAATGTGGTAAGGCCTTTGGTAGTGGTGCAAACCTTGCATATCATCAGAGAATTCACACTGGTGAAAAGCCTTATGAATGTAAGGAATGTGGAAAGGCCTTTGGTAGTGGCTCAAACCTTACTCACCACCAGAGAATTCACACTGGTGAGAAACCATATGAATGTAAGGAATGTGGGAAAACCTTTAGCTTTGGATCAGGTCTTATTCGACATCAGATCATTCATAGTGGTGAAAAGCCATATGAGTGTAAGGAATGTGGGAAGTCTTTTAGTTTTGAATCAGCTCTTAGTCGGCATCACAGAATTCACACAGGTGAGAAACCTTATATATGTAAATATTGTGGGAAAGCCTTTGGCAGTGGTTCAAACCTTACTCAACATCAGAGGATTCATACTGGTGAGAAACCTTATGAGTGTAAAGCATGTGGAATGGCATTTAGCAGTGGTTCGGCCCTTAATCGGCATCAGAGAATTCATACAGGTGAGAAACCATATATATGTTTCGAATGTGGAAAGGCCTTTAGTTTTGGATCAGCCCTTACTAGACATCAAAGAATTCACACTGGTGAGAAACCTTATATATGTAAGGAATGTGGGAAAGCTTTTAATAGTGGTTCAGATCTCACTCAACATCAGAGAATTCACACTGGTGAGAAACCTTATGAGTGTAAGGAATGTGAGAAAGCCTTTAGAAGTGGTTCAAAACTTATTCAGCATCAAAGAATGCACACTGGGGAGAAACCCTATGAGTGTAAGGAATGTGGCAAGGCATTTAGTAGTGGTTCAGATCTTACTCAACATCAGCGAATTCATACTGGTGAGAAGCCATACGAATGCAGAGAATGTGGGAAGGCCTTTGGTAGTGGCTCAAAACTTATTCAACACCAGCTGGTTCATTCTGGTGAAAAACCCTATGAATGTAAAAAATGTAGAAAGTCCTTTAATAGTGTTTCTGGTCTTAATAGGCACCAGAGAATACACTGGTGAGAAAACTTATGAATATAAGGAATATGGGAAGGCTTTTCTTAGTGATTTGAATATTATTCAACATCAACATGAGAGATATCACACTGGTCAGAAACCTTATGAATGTAAGGAGTATGGTAACCTTTGGGGAGGGATTGATTTTCAGAAACATAAAAGTTACAAAAGTGAGAATTTCAGTGAACTAGAAGTTCTATGAAATAAAATGGAGTGATAAAAGATTTTCAACACATGACACAAGAAAATTAATAGTAGTGAAAATCTTCACAAATATAGTTGAGGCACACAAGAATTATGCTACATAGTATAATTAGCCTAAGAGAATTGATGTATGGAAAAAATACCCTGAGTAAAATATATATTGGAAGATATTTACATTTATTTCTTTATAACTTTCAAAAGTTCAAAATGTTAAAAATGAAAAAAAGTTTATTATATTTTTATTTGATTTTAAACACTGAAAAATGCATTGTTTTGGGGCTCAATTTATGACTTTCAGTTTTTCAAATGTCTTTATTTGTATTTTTTGAGACAAGGTTTCATTATGTAGTCCTGGCATTGAACTTCTTATGCTTCCCAGGCTGGCCTTGAACTCACAGTATTCCTGTGTCAGCTTCCCAATATGTATTATACAGAATTGAAATCCATCTCAAAATGATTTTATTTATTGAAAGTCCTAAGTTTATATTTTTCTCAATTTTTTCCTAACACCATTTATTCAAAGACTATTTTCATGTTTTTATTGACTATTTGATGTTATATTTATATTTATAGAAATCTTGGATATCAAGTCAGTGGGTTTTTTTTTTAAATAAAAACTTATGTGCATGTGTTTGTGTCTTACTTTGTTTATGTTAGGTAACTGTTACTTTTAAATATCTTTTAGTATCTGATGGATCTGTATCTTTTTACTTTGGAGAATTTTAATTTTCTTTTTATATAAATTATACTCCTGATTTTTCAAAAACTTTCCATCATGAAAATGTAGATATGAACAAAAAAGATGTAATTATCTGTAATGATATTTATCATAAACACTGTCAATCTTGAAACAAACCCTTTAAAATTATTTCATTGTTTTCTACACAAAATGTGATTATGCTATACAATGGCCAGCCTTTATTATTCTTTGCCTGTAACTATGTTGTCACTATTTTATTTTCTCAATTAAATATTTACCTGTATTTATCAAAATGCTATTTTGTCAAATGTTGAAATTTTGCCACTATAAAGTTACCTTGATGCCCTCTTTGTGTTTGCATTATTGTCATTTATTTCACAGAGAATGTGTGGATGTCTTCTGTTTGTAAAAGATTTGTACATTATAGGTCAAGCTGTGTTTCCCTATGACCTTTTCCGACTTCATTTCCTCTTCGGTGTTAAGCAACTTAATCTTCCAAGTGCTTTTAGATGCTTATTATGACAGACACATAATTATGTGGACATGGTTAGAGTATTTCAGAGCATTGTTATATGCATTCTGTAGTTATGCTTAATACATGATAAATGCTTGGTTAGCATTATCCATCATAATTGTTTCTTAAAAAATATTTGGTACAGGGTCTCACTACACAGCTCAGACTCATAGTGATCCTCCTGTTTTCAGGCTCTCCAGTGCCAGGATTACAGTATGCACCACCATGCCCTGACTCAGCACACCCAGGGGCATAGTAAACACGGCATGTGTTGCAGAGGATCAAACCCCTGTCCCTGCACTTGCCTAAGTAGGCTTTTAATTATTATTTTTTTCAAAGTTTTATTGATAAACAGATAGCAATGAGACAGTTTCAAATCAAATCGGATGTACAGTTTCAACAAATAATACACTGCATATATTCTTCTTAGTGGTTAATTGCTGTACAAGATGCGGACTTGTGATCCTATTTCAAACATCATTAGAACAAATCATTCTATTCATTAAGAGAATGCAACTATGTATCTATCCCAACCTCTTTGAATACACAGATACAAAATGGGCATTCATCTGTATGCCCCATTTTTTCTAAGTTCCGTTATTGAATATTATAGGTGTGTAAACTCAGCAAAATATTCTAAAAGAGTCCAGTAGCCCATAATAGCATTGGGTCTTCTGTTTAACTGGCAATGTCAGAAATTATTGACCTGAGTCCCCCACAGCTCAACTTAACAGCATGGCTTTATTTCTTATATTTCGTCTTCATACTTTTCTACTGGATGGTTAAGACCAAGGTAAAGCAGGACCTGTGCAACAAGAGTTGTAGCTTTTTGGTCTGATAAGGTCAGTGAAATGCCCTCAGGATTTGTCCTGAGATCCTGTACCTCAGATTGTAGAACCTTTATCAGTGCAGCCATGTGGATGAGTCACAGCCATTGCTTGGCCAATGTGCTCTCTGTGAATAGTAGGCTTTTAATTATGACCCATAACTTACTCAATAATATAATAGAGAAAAACTGTCATATAAATAAATTTGATCACCATTTGTTAAGTCTGATCACAATTTCCTTAGTGAATAAGAATAATTCACCCTGGGCTGGGGATATTGTTCAGTGGCATAACACCTTCCTGGCAAGCACGAGATCATGAGTTTGATTCCTGATAACCACAAAAATAGTAATTCATCCTGAAGCAAATTTGACCTGAGATAAAGAGTGAGGAGGCAAATACACCATAAAATTCATATCATGGTGGAAATAAAAATAAAGCTCTGGTAACCCCTGCATAAAACTGGATATTGCCAGATATGGTGATGTACACCTATAAACTCAGCACCCAGGAGGCTGAGACAGGAGGATTGCTATGAGTTCCAGCTTGGGCTACTTAAGAGTTCAAGGCCAGCCTAAACTACATAGCAAGACCCTGCCCTAAAGAAAAAGAAAACACCTGAATATTAGTTTTTGTAGATGTGATATGAAATAATATTTAATGAAGCTTTTTGGAAGTTAATACATACTTAAAATTGTTTTATGTAGAACCATTTATTTAAGGAATGTAATTTGCTCCTTTGAGGATCTGATACAAGATAACAAAAGTTCTCCTTTGGGTACTCTGAGTTTTGTTGTCCTATATGCTACCCATTATAAATAGCATTTTAAAACTTCTACTTGTAGGTATGTAGTTAAAAAATTTCCCTAAGAAATATATAGTCATAATCCAGAGACACTTTAATATGCCAAAAACTCAAGACAATGATTGATTGATTGATTGATTGATTATTGTGTAGTATAGGAGATTGAACTAGGGCTTCACACTGAGTTACCTCCCCAACCTTTTTTTTTTTCTTTTTTCCTTTTGGTTTCATTTAGTAAATCACCCAGACTGGGCTCAAATTTACAACCTGTTGGGAGCCACTGAAGCTGGAAATTGGTCAAATGTGAGAGAGCAGGACCCGGCCTCAGTGCCTAAAGCAGTCAAGCTACCTCAGTCCTGAGAATAGCATCCTGCCTGGTCAATGCCAGCTATTAGTCACTAGCCCACTTTGTGTCATGTGGTACTAATTTTATAAAGGTATAAATAAACACCCTTCTGTTGCTCTGGGTTCCTTTGGCAATCAGGCAAACAGGCCTCCTCCTCCTCCTTGTCTGTGCTTTCCTCATTCCTGCTGCCATTTCTCCCTGGGGGACACTGAGACACCCATGAATCCCTACATTTGGTACACAAGCAGGACAACCAATAAGAAGTAAGGGGGCAGCAAGGCTTTCCGAGTGTTCACATAAGGGAGGGATACGAACTGGTTAGAGCCAGTATTCAGCCCAGGTATGCATTGGTACTGGAACATCAGGGGTAAAGCTTGGGGATGGAGGCTCATTAAGGCCAGAAACAGTTATCTAGAGCCAGAAGCAGGTTCACTAGGGCCAGAGAGATAAAGGAACTTAAGAAGAAAAACAGATTTGAATGAAGCCAAAAAAGGAGAAAGTTATATTGAATTAAAAATGGGATAGAGTTTCAAGAACCACAAATGTTTACAGATGTATATAAATGCATATAAAAATGTTTTCTTGATTCCTGTCTTTACTGTACTTTTTTAAGACTTAGCATGGAGTACTGTTTTAAAATCAAGTCCCAAACAGGGCAAAGAGGGTATAGCAAAGGTACCACAGATAGAATTTAAACCCTCTAGTCTTGCTCGATTAGATAAAAAAGAAAAAATTCTTTTAAATTGCAGGCAGCTAGTTCCAAAAGGCACAGCACCACCTGAAAGAGTGGCTCAGGCCAGTTTCAGGGAGGACCCAATGCTCTGCTCCTATGAAAACCCAGCTGTGATTCCCCAGCCACCTGTACATCCACACAGCCAGTCCAGTGGTGGTTGATGCATGCCAGCAACTGTAGGCCTGTGTACCTGGTGCTCAGTAGGAGGTTATAGCTATGGAGTGCTGGAGCCAAGGTTCCCTAAATGTGTTGCTGTCACTGTAAATTTGTCCACCTCAAAATAGTGTGTATGTTGAAAATTATAGAAAAATGAAATAGCCAGTGATCAAAGCCAGAGCAACAGCAGGCACATGGAGTGGCTGCACACAGTGGTGGCAGTTACATGGCAGTAGCCCCCATGTTGCTTGGAGAGGGAGAATGTGGGTGAGATAGCTCATTCCCCATACTAGCAGTTCACCCAGCCCTGGGGTAATAGAGCAAAAGTGGTAACCAGAGGCAGAACACCAATACAAAGAGGTCCCCACGCTTTGCCTGATGTCATCGATGCTGATTATGCAGGGAAACTCAAAGCACTGTTTAAATCACTGAAGACTATCATATTGCTCAATTGGTCATTCTTTGACAATAATTTCAAAATCATAACTAATAAAAAAGGATATATTGGATTAAAAATATAAATTAAAGGAGAAACATTTTAAAGGGCTCTTCAAATGCAAGTGCAGATGACCTCTGGGTAGGGGAGCCACAGGTCTGCAGCAACAAAGGTGCTGGGTTGCTGACCTGCAAGGATACAGAGGGCCATTCCACCAGGAATAGAGCCTCCCAGAAAATCAGAAAATAGAGCAGTTTTCTCTCTCCATACACATTAACACAAAAAGAGGTTTTACATTTTCCCCTTAAAAGTGATTAATTTAAAAGGCTGTTTTCATCCTAAAAATAAAAAGTTTGCCTTTAAACAAAAAAAAAATACCAGGTGTGGTGATAATATGCCTATAGTCCTAGCACTCAGGAGGCTGAGGCAAGAGGATTGTTGTGAGTTTGAGACCAGCTTGGGCTACAAAATGAGCTCAAGGCTAGCCTGAACTGCATAGAGAGACCCTGTGTCAACAGAAAACCAAAAAATAAACGATAAAAATTCCTATTTCCTAAGATTTACAATAATGTGGATACTTAAAAAGATTACTTAAAATTATTTTGATTCCTAATAAGGTTGATTGCTTGGCTCACAGCCCTAAATTAAAATTGGTATAAAAAAGCTTTGGTATTTTACAAACAAATACAAGGTTTGGAATGAAATCTAAAACAGTGGCAAACAGTGGCTTGATTTTTGACATCCCATATAAATAATGGCAATCCTAGTAGTTTCTTCCAAAAGGGTAATAGCTATGATAACTTCTTCATATTTGGATCAACTTATCCAACAAAGACATATTGTGCCCTAAACTGTTCAGATCAACCTAAAATGATTTTCAGGCTATACTTGGTAATATTGGAATCAAATTTTGGGCTAATTTCTCTTGTGTTATTGACTGTCATTATCCTTTAATAAGTGAGATTAATTTGCTTATTTTCATACATCTGTTCTATTAGATTAATGGAAGCTATGTATTGCTTCCTCTTCCAAAATGTAAGGTACAGGTTTCTCACCTTATGATCAAATTTCAAATACAAAAAAAGTGGAATCATCCCCTCCCACTTCAATTGTCAATATATACCATTAAATTTTCAAATTATAAAAAAGATGGAGGGTACGGGGAGATGGCTCAGTGGAATAAGCGCTTCCCTGGCAGGCACAAGGACCTGCGTTCAATCCCCAGTTCCGCAAAAAAAAGAAAGAAAGAAAGTATAGTAATAGAAAGCAGGTAAAGCAACAAAAAGCTAATTTGGATTCACGATTTTTTTTTTTCCTGAACCAGTGATTGAACTCAGGCCCTTGCACTTCCAGGGAAGTGCTTATTCTACTGAGCCATCTCCCCAGCTCAAAAAGCTAATTTGGGGTAAAGGACACATTTGTGTTCTTTCAGAGTGCTAAGCAACCTATTTTGGTACCACAGCATATTGTCAAGCTGTATCATGACAGATACTGGATCTGGAGAAGTTAACAATGATGAGGCTAGATTTAATCAAAGGCCTTTTGAAGGAACTGACAAAATGTAAATCTGAGATCTAAAAAAGTGATAGAACATATAGAGATCAGTGAGCTGAAAGTTACCAGTTGTCTCAGTTACTCTTCTCTAATTGCTAGGACAAATACATGATACTCAAAATGAATGAAAGGTTTATTTAGCTCAGTTACTGGAGGTTTCAGTCCATATTCAGCTGGTTCTGAATTCGGTACTAGAGAAGTGGGGTTGTTGCTGTGGCTAAACCTAACCATGTGTATCACGAGATTTTCGGAATGGCTTATGGGAAGAGATAGGGAAGGTTTGGAGAAGTCACCTGTAAGAGAAGCACTGGAACAGCTTCAGCTGTTCTGTATGGGAGATTCTGGTCAGAGCTCAAACCACAAGGCTGATAGAAATCTTGCCTGTAAAGACCAGCCGGGAAGGTTTCTGCTGGGAAGGACTGCATTGGTTGTTGCACCCCAGATGATCTGTTTTGGCTTGGCAGACAGTTTGTCTGCATTTTGCTCATGTCCAGAGACTGCCTGAGACTGAGATTAAGTATGGTGGCCTCATTAATCTTTCAAAAGAAATTTCAAAGCAGCCAAATATTGAGGCAGTATCATGGCTATTGTTGGGGGCTTTTAGCCAGATTTATGTTGAGAATCAAGAGGAAAGAGCCCAACAGGATGATTTAAAATGTTGTGAGTTTGGCAAGAAAGGAAGCTCCAATAAAGCTGTGGAATATAAAGATAGAACTGAGATTATCTCCTTTGTCAAGAAGGAACAAGAGAATGGAAAGGATGACCTGAGGGCATCACTGAAGGCAACAGACCTCCACACTTTGCAGCCTCAGAACTGCAAGGGTGAGAAACTTTGCCTTGAGGGGAAAGCCACAGAGCCCCATGTTCCAGAATGGAGTTAGCGGCCACACCAGGTTGTAGAATGGCACTGGCACAGTGAATTTCTTCCTTGGAATCAGGATCAGAGTCCTCAGCAGTCCAGGCATTCAATAGGGATATACAAGACTGAAGAAAGCCTGGCTACTACTCCAGCTAGCAGCAGATCTTGGCATTATCCACATGGCATTGGTTTTGGGCACATTTAGAATGCAGTTATGAGGTTAAGAAGGCTTCCACCTAGATTTTAGAAAAAGGCCTGGGGGGCCAGGCAGTGTGCCCCTGTGAGGGCAGTGTGTAAAGCTGTGAGAAGCCTGTTCAGTGGAAACCCCAGAAATTTGGAAAAGCCTGGAACATGGATCATCTAAGGGAAACTGCAAAGAGGGAGCAAAGCTGGCCTAAGAGAGAAGCCATGGGAGCTACCACCAAAAGTGCCACGAGGGCAGAGCCACGTGGGGCTTGCGACAGACTGCTTTGGATATTCCACAAGGAACTACAGGACTTAGTAGGCCCTTCTGGATTTTGCACTTGCTTTGGTTCCAATGGTTGGCATCCTGCTTTGTGTACCTTTTGGAATGGTAATGTTTATCTTGTGCCTTTGAATATTGGAAGTGTTTCACTTTTCATTTGTACAGGGGCTCACAGCTAAGAGTTTGCCCTGGATCTTGGAGGAGACTTGGGACTTGGAATTTTTAGCAATGATGAAACTTCTGGGCTCTCAACTGTAAAGCCATCTTCTTAGGAACCTCTGTACCATGACAGCCAAGTGGAGAAAGAAGCAAATGTGCAGACTGAAGTGTAAAAGAAGAAAGATGAGACAGAAGTCCAAGTAAAATAGTTCTACATCCATGGAGGCCAAAAGAGCAGAAATAAAGAATGCTGGAGGCTGACAACGCTGGTGCAAGTTTTGGACTGCATGCTGTCTAGAATGTCTCAATGGATTAGAACTTCACTGCCATCTGACTGCTAAGACCACCTCAAAGAGTGATCCACCTGGTTCAAACTAAGCAGTTCCCTGGTTTTTTGCCCTGGACCTGTGGCATTCTGGACTACTTCTGTTCTCACTGTTAGCTGAGTGTAAAGCATGTACAATAAATCATCTCTTCTGTGTTATCTGAAGTATAAAAAAAAAAGAAACTGATGGGACTTTGGGGCAACTCTTAGAGATGGACTAAAATGCCTTTTGCATAAAGGGATGTGCATGAATCTTTGGGGGTCTAGGGGAGGAATGTTATGGTTTGTATCTAGTTGTTCCCCCAAAGCCTCATGCAATCATGGGGCAGACTTCTAGAGTTTATGATTAACTCATGATCCATTGGGATTATGGGCATGAGTGCTGCTGGGATTATGGGTGTGAGTACTATACCCAGCCTGGGGTATATAGCCTGAATGCAACTTAAGGGAGACAGACTTGCTGTCTGCAACCATTGTCACTGCTGCTTCTCCATTTTGCTCTTCTCTTTGCCACCGCTATGAAAGGGTGTTCTCTGCTATATTCTGCTCTACCTTGGAGACAGCTGAGTATGGACTGAAACCTCCAGTAACTGTGAACTAAATAAACCTTTCCTTCCATCATTTTGAGTGTCAGGTATTAGTCCCAACAATGAGAGAAGAATAACTGATGAGACACCAGTGTTAAGATGAGATAAAATATAAAAACGTATATTAATTTTAGATAGCAGCTTGTATTCTTTCCAAATTTCTCTAATAAGAATTCTCTGCTGACAAATAACAAAATATGACTATTTATAACTTTATAAAAACTGTAACAGTTACTATAGTTCAATTTGGTCAAGAATGTATTTGGGTACACTCTGATTTTGTAAAGATGTTTGTTTGTGTGGTCTGTGTGCTTGTTAATGTGTTTGTGTCATTCTGTGAACAGCTGTTCCTCCTTTTATTTGAGCTCAAGAGTTTTTTTTTTTTGTCATTTGTTCCTAATACAAATTGGGATATAGACTTAACAGCATACTTTCTCCTAAGTTACCAGTCTAAGTGATATCAAAACTGGTGTACTCACAGGTCATCAAAAATTAAGATAATCAAATAAAAATTCCTTAGAGTGGGGAGAGATTAATGGACAGGACTCCAATTGGTGGATGGAGGGGTGGTCAACCATTGTTCACTAAAAAGGAGCCCCCAATAATCTCCATAGTCTTTTGGAAGACACCCTATATTAAATTAGTCATTGGAAAAGATGAAGTTTTTCAGAAAAAAATTATAATAAGTAAATTCTTCTGGATGTTTAACAACTGAGGTTTGGAGACCAAAAATTAGAGAGATAGAGGGGCTAGGAGGATAGCCAATATTTTGACCCTAGTCCTCCAAGGTCAATGAGGACTCAGGACATAAGAGAACCTCTGCTGTGACATCCTATAACTAAGTTGAATCCCTGATTTTCTGATCAAGGGGATTATGAAACCCAGAAGAAAATGATTCAATGACGTATAGTGAACCTAAAGAGAGTCATCTAGAGAGGAAAAAAAATCTCTCAAGCTTTCTCAGAAAACGATTTGACCAAGCTATGTCTGTGATTCATGCAGATGGCTGACACTGATAGAAAATCTCCGAGGTTCTGTACAGTAGTCCTTTGCTATTTTGTGATTTGACTTTAGCAGACTCACTGTTTCATGGGTTTTCAAAAAATATTAATCTAAATTATTTATCATGGATTTTTGCTGTATCATAGGATTTTACAGTACCATACAGTATATGTATATTGTTAAAATTACATAAGTTTATGAGTTTAGAAAATAGTTAAGAACATTAGAAGCATTTTTTAAAAGTGTGGAAAAGGTTTACAAGAAGGTGGGAAGGGTTTATAAAGCCATAAAGTATATGTAAATACTAAAATAAATGTAACACTGCTACTTTGCTGATTTTCACTTATCGCGGGTATACCTGGGACATAAGCTCCATAACTGAAGGACTACTGTACTTGGTTCCAAGGTAAATTCTGAGATTTAACTGACCTTGATAGATAGCAAGAAGATACTTTTATTAACACAGGTCTCACTTTAATTTGGCCTTAATCATTCAGCAGAAAATTATAACCACAAAATGTAAAAAAGCAATGGTATAGTAATTTGCTAGCTGTAAAAGATTCAAATCACTAACAACTTCTGATCATTGCCAGCTGTACTGGTAACTCACTACTGTTGGGGTATTGGACTATATAGGATTAAATTGCTGTATACAGGTACCAAAAATCTTTGAACTGGTTATCTTTAGCCTAAACAATTAAGTTGATCAAGAATGAAAAGGTCTTCTAAAGAGTTCTCCAAACACAGCTTCTCCAACTGCAACTGAACACCTATCATTCATACAACAAAATAGTAAAGGGAGAGATGTTGGAAGTGGGTGAAGCTGAAAATTGGTCATACATGTGAGGGCAGGACAAGGCCATAGTGCCTAGAACAGTCAAACTACCTCAGTCTTGAGAAAGGTATCCTGTCTGGACAATTTCAGATATTAGTTACTATGCAACCTGCTTTCTCCTAATTCTAACTTTGCAAAGGCATAAATAAATGTCCCTACTGTTGTTCTTTGGGTCCTTTGCCAGTCAGGTAAACAGACCACCACCTGAGCTCAGCTAGTATTTCTTGCCTTTATTTTCTAAATCCTCTTGCCATTTTCTCCCTGGGGACCACTGAGAGGCCACCAAGTCCCTGTTAATATTTGTATTTTTTCAATGTACTTTAATAGCTGAAATCAACCCTTAATACTTTATGAAGGTCACTCTTAAAAATTTCCCAAAAGGAAGTCTACATTTTTTATAACTAAGTAAATGAATGTAATCTTACCTCCCATTTTACAGCAAGCACACTGATGATATACTTCCCTAACTTAATAATATACTTTCCCAGTAATTCATTGAGAAACCAAATCTTTTGATTGTGTAGTATACTTTTCATTACAGTATATTGCTTTCACAGAATTATCTCAAAAACATTGGAATAGGAAATTATCCTATTGCATGAGGATGAGATTGAGGACAAAATTATAACAATCTATCAGAGTTTCTCTGCTTGACATTCAGCTCAGAGGAATGCAGTGGAGAGGACAGAGTTCTTTTCTGGGGAACTCACATTCAACATACCTTAGGAGTAATCTGGAGCCTAGGAGATAAGCTTTAGAGACATTCTCTTATGTCAAAGGGCCATTTTGTTCTTTTTGAATTTACCATTTCCTGGAAAAACTTTGGGCAGATCAAGAAACTGGAGGAGGAGCAAGGGAATGAGGTTCTGGTTCCTCATGTACAAGCAGATTCAGCGTCATAGCTGAGCCTGCTTAAGCTAAAAAATAATTTCTGACATTGCCAGTTAAACAGAAGACCCAATGCTATTATGGGCTACTGGACTCTTTTAGAATATTTTGCTGAGTTTACACACCTATA